CACAGAAAATTTGAAACCGCAACCGGAAAGCAAACTTTTGGTTTCAACTATCAGGGTCGCACTAGGTGAAAAAAATGTCAGTGATGACACTTTGATAAACCAGACACACGTTTATCGACGTGCTATGGGGAGAGAGCAGTGAGCTGAAAAAGGAAAACAAACGTTAAAAAAATGCGTCCCGTTGAAGCATTGTTAATAACGATCACGGTGATGCTTATTCTTCTTATTCAGTTAAATCACGAGCACTTTTTTGTCTTTCGTATGATCTATGAAAGATGGGTTAACGCCTGTTTAACTGTTTTGACTGCCGCTATGATGAGAGCGAGAAATCGACGTCAGCGAAGATTACTTCGAGCGCCATATGCCTGGTCAGTTCCGCGACCAGTCGAGTCGTTTGCTGTTTACTGACAAGCGATGATAGTTACCGCTGTGATAGCTTTTGTTTAGCCCGAGTTTTCCGAAATCTACCTGCCCCACCCAAGCACTACGGCGTCTTTGATGTTTTGGCCGGTTTTCAAAGTTTTTGCGAACTGGAAAAGTTAGGGTCGCATTAGGGAATGTGCCCCAATGACAGATTTTTACACCAAAGTGACCACATTCACACCAAACTTTGCCAAGTGCGACCCATGCCTTAGTATCAACAGTGAGCGTTTTGCAAACAGTGACATATCTGCTAGTTGCTTTACTCAGGTATTTCAAGCTCGCGATCTCCTGAAAATAACAATTATTAATCCTCAGTAAGAAAACCAGTCTTTCGCTATCGAAACAATTAGCTCCCCAAACATGTGGGGAGCTAATTTAGTTTCTGCAAACCGCAAGATAAAAGACCCGCAAAAATTTCTTGCCACGCGGCATCCTAGTAGTCACGTACAAAATTCATAACTTTAAGAGTACTTACTGTTCAGCTCGCTTTCACTATCTGAGTCAAGCAACAGGGGTAGTTCCAGATCTAGCTGCTGCTGGGTCGATAAAGAATCATTTTCTATCTTGCCGCTGATTTTAGCGAGGCGGTAAAGTTTAAGATCAAATTGCCCAAGACCGAACTTCCTGGCTTGCTCGTTTAGACCAAGAAAGTCAATTACGTTTTTCTTGAACGCTGAAAGTGTCCGATGCTCTTCTTGGACTTTGAGTCTTGCCTTGTATCTTTCGCTTGGCCTTTCCTCACCTGTTCGATAAAAACTAACAACAGCTTTCAATACCGACATCGCTCAACTCACATGCACACTGAGTGAAGAAATTGGAGATCTTAAAACAAAAAGCTGTCAACTTGTCTTACAAAACGCAGGCCATGTGAGGTCAAGGGAGACTACCGGGGGTCCTTGAAACGAGCTTGGCCTATAAACGTATGAACCACATGTACGACATGTACGGAGTCAAAGTCAGCAAAATAAGAAATGAAACAGGTCATAAGTAAGTTTAGCACCTTCCTTAAAATTAAGAAATTTAGGGAACAATTATTTTTTACGGTTATCTCTTTCGACACCATTTACGGCTAACGGTTAAAATTTTTCAATTTTTACGGCTATCGACTAAATTTTTGGCCATTTTACGCCTATCGGTTAACAAGAAAGAGGGTGTGGCCCTACGATCATGCCCTGCGTTTCTCAAAGGTGAAGCCTGTGAGCATAAATTGGATTTATTGCTTACTCTCAAAAATTAACCGCTGCATATAAATACAGGCATATTTGTCATATTTAGGACTGCTTCCGATTTTTTGGTGATTACAGGAGGATTCTATTCGAATACTTTGGCACATCCGTCCCACATGTCACAGGCTGAATCTTTATGATATAAATGAAAGCGTTTAGTTCTTTATGTATACGAGTCCTTACTCGGCGGAACCATTGCATTCCGGTTCCGTTAAGTATATATGTCGTCCGGCCGTTGCAGCACTGACCATTGCACTAATGGGTCCGTGGCCGGGGGCGCCTGAAAAACAAAAAAAAACGAGTCCTTACGAACACTTTGTTTAAGCGCGGAGTATTTTTCTATGTTAAATCAGCAATCTGCTGGATAAGAGAAGCTGAAGTATCCTTCAACCCTAACCTTAGCTCAGTAAGACGGGAAACTGAACGCCCTACTGTTTCGGTTGCCAGACGCTTATAAATTTCTTTAGAGACAAATTACCTCGTTCATCCTTTCTCTGCGAGTTTCATGCAGTTGATCTGTTTTGTTTTGTTTCGAGGTAAGAGAGGCGGAAACGAACGTCGTTCGCCAGTGAGAGAAGGTTTGATATTCACTTGATGCAAGATCTGAAGTCCTCAAAGCGAGCAAAGTGACGTCAGCTTGAATACGTGCACCAGATTTGCTGGTTTCCAGTCCTTTGCAGCAAGTGCAACATCCTGCTTTTCCTCTTCATTTTGAAAACTGATTAAGATGAGATCGTTTAGAGAAAAGACTAATTAATAATGCAAAATATTTTTTAAAATCTCATTAATCCGGATGAAGGAAGTTTTAGTTTTCTTCCTCAAAAGGAAGTTCGAACTTTTGGGGTATAAATCGGAATTGTGTATGATATTAAGGTTTCAAATGGAAGAAAAAAAATTACTAATGTCAAACTACGGTTTATCATTTCATCGGTTTATGCATTTCATCCAACGTGGACATGTTACATCATGTGACAAAAATAGCAAAGGAGGTCTGGATACTACACGGTCATACATGAAAGCGAGGCAACGAAAATGAAGCAATGGCGCTTGGTTGCCGTGGGATTTAGCCTCATAGGTTTATTACTCGTAGCAAATTTCAGGTGAGTTATGCAGGGTTATTTTCAAAAAAGAAAATTTGTTTTGGGAGCAGCTTCAGAATACCCGTCCACATCATTTACATATGTCGGGAGGCTTTGAAGAATGAGGTATAATACAATAGACGCTATTCTTATTCGATGACAAGTAAAATTCTGATGTGGCCGGGTATTCTGAAGTTTAGCCTTGTTTTGAATATGTACTTGTGTTTCCCTCGCCGCCCTAGCATACAGTTCAGGAAAAGATCTAAACGTGGTGACGTACAAGAAAATCAGAGAAAATTCATTGCGATCGGTAAGGTATCTGCCACAGCTGGTCCTGAAAATATAAACAAAAGTTATGTGGGTAAGTTCTGTCAGTTGAATGAAATCAATTGAATTGTTCGTGGTTTTCGTTTTAAAGAAAAAGATCATATAATTAGAATTACGTCAAAATGTCACAGTACATTTTATTTAACCGGAATTTACTTGCAAGAAAATTACTTGCATTCATCCAGGAAATTTTCAAAATGATTTTTGACCCACTGGTAGATACTCAGGTTTGATCGATAGGAGTTCTTATTTACTTATTATTGATGAAGTGAATAAGTTATCACGTTTAAAAACCGTTATACGAATGTTTTTATTTCCGTATAATACTTGATTACAAATTGAAGTCACAGATACATGTAGTGTACTTCACCCAATTCTCAAGCAAACATGCCCAAATGTTAACATTTGTCAGTGTCAACAATTTTTTCTATGTAACAAATACAGTTGATTGCCATTTGTCTGTCGTGTAGTAGTTCACAGATGAATTCAAAATGCGTTAAGAACAATAACGTGTTATTCATAGACACATGGCTACATAGAATCTATGTTTCATATAATAAAGAAGCAAAAGTTGTTTATGTTAACATCACCTATAAGTCGGTCCTTCATTAAATTATAAGTAAGAGCTAATCAAAATGTGCATATAATCCAGCTTATTGTGTTATGCTTAATCAAAGTAATGATGTTGGTCAAATAATTGTTTTTCATAGTTACAGAAAATTTCTTTATGAATGATTTTAAACTCGATTATTTTTTAAGACCGCTGAAACAACTTGTTGACATATTTGTTAGCTCTCTCCTTGTTATATACAGAGAATGCTAAGATGAGTCCAAATTCAGACTGTGGGAAGACTGAAGAAACTCGAAGTCTTGCTGAATGTGTTCATTGCAGTGATTATGAGAAGGTAAATCCTTTGCACAGCCTAAGGTCCATCACTAACCGACAAACTCTGTAACTTACAGTGAAATATGCAATTTGCTGTAACCAATTATAGTGCATGTAGTGAGACTGAGAGATAAAAAAAAATCAAAACAAAAGTTACATATGAAAATGAACATGAGGAAACTTGTTTTGAGAACTGTCAAGAATGGAGATAGAGGGTTGACTTTGCCTGGAGGCTTACAGTACCATCATGATTTAATATTGGGAACTTGTAAAATTTATCTGTTTGTCTCTTTTCTTTTCACAGAAAAGCATAAAAGGCTGTCTACAAACTGGGAATATACAACTTACCTATTGTGTTGACTCTCGCATAAAATTCTATGGAAGGTAGGTTTGTAAATCTTGAAGTAGCAGTTTCTTGTGGCAGAAGAATTCAACAAACCAAGCAATTTTTTTCGCTCCAACAAAGGGCTAACACTCGAAACGTCAGCTTTTATAATCATAATGGTGGCCAATTTATCATTTCAACTTTGTTGATATATTGAAGTTATTTTGTTACCCCCACCGACGCAGCCCCAAATGTACCAGTTTCTTTAGAAACTATCAGCCTTTATTCAATTTTTGTCTCTAGCTGTCGACATATTGCACAATGGGAGGAAAAGAAATTTTGGATGTTTGAGGTAATGCCTCCAGTCACATATTATGTACGCATAGTGTAAACATTATTTTTTTAGTTCATGTTGCTAACTTGCTATTCTGTAAACTTTAAATGCATGTCACAAAATCAGGGATACAGAACACAGTGACAGTCAATAAATGAAATGATTAAGCTTTTGTTTAGGGCTAGGACTAGACATATCACAAATCCTCTAATAAGCCATGGGGGTTTATTTATTTCAGGTACTTTGGGGGGGGGTAGCTAATTAGAGGGGGGCTTATCAATTTAGAACTCAATTAAAAAACTCAGTTTTATGATCTCTCTCTCTATGGACCTTGTTTAGGCATGTTATATTTTTAGCACTGCTCTGTAATTTCTGTATACCATATTCTATTGATGCCAACATGATAACATCAATCAAACAATCATCATAATCAATTTTAAATGACAAACTCAATCATTCTAAGCAACATATGACAATCTGCGGTCTTTCCTTACACTTAGGTAGCACGGAAAGCCGTAAAACTCTTGAACAAAAGCTCATCTTTCAAACCGGCAGTCTAAATCCCACAGGGATCAACGAACGCCTTTCATTCCACTAATTTATTCATGTTTTTCTCGTTGCCATGTTCCCACCAATAACGTAGCTCCATTTTCTGCCTTTAAAAGCACACACAACCCACAATTCCTCTATTCGCTCCGACGAAGGGCTAACGCTCGAAACGTCAGCTTTTGTAATCGTTACGGTGGCCAATTTACCATTTCAACTTTGTTGATATATCCAAATTATTTCGTTACTCCCACCGACGCAGCCCCAAACAGTTTCTTTCGAAACTATCAGCCTTTATTCATTTGCATTTT